AACTGACTGAGCCACCCAGGTGTCCCTGTATCTAAGAGTTTTTAGTATGTAATATGATTTGATTATTTGTATTCGCCTTATCAGATGCCTTTTCATTTCTTAGCCTTTTTGCTTCCTTTGTCTTTAGCAACAACGGTGTCCTGTGTTGTGAAACCTCATTCCTCACTCTAAAACATTACTATTGGAAGTGTAAACTGGAACAGACTTACCTGTACAATCACTGGAAGCAACTGTTCAGAGAGTTGATGGTGTGGTGCTTTTTAATGACATGGAGAGATGTCCATGGTATATTAAATGCAATAGGCTATTCATGCATTTCATTATGAAAAAGGAAGCAAAGTTCTGAAAGGATTAAGCCTAAAATTTACCAGCCTTTATTATGGGTAGCTTAATGTAAGTGAACTTTTTGTTGATACATAATAGAAATGTATACGAATAATAAGTATACAGCTTAATGAATTTTCACATATTAACATAGCCGTGTAATCAGCCCTGGATCAAGAAATAAGACATTGTCAGAGTCCCATAAACCCTTTCTCACACCCACATGGTCCCTATGACACACGAGCACTCCCCTGACTTCTGACACCATAGGTCCAGAGGTTAGGGTTGCTGCTGCATTCGCATTGTATCTAAATGGAATCATCTAGAATATCCTCTTTTGCATTCAGCTTCTTTTGCTCATCTTGGTGACATTCCTCTGTGCTGAGTGAATCAGCAGTTCATTCTCTGTCCTTGTGGTATAAGATTCCATTGTACGAACACACCACAATGCATTTATCTGTTCTGTTGATGGAGACTTGGGTGGTTTCACTTTTGGGATTATCAAGAGTGCTACTGCTGTGAACATTCTAATATGTGCCTTTTAGTGAATGTTTATGTGCATTTCTCTTGGTTTTGAGTAGAATTTTTGGGTTGTGGGTTGGAATGTGTGCATTCAACTTCAGTAGGTACTGCCAAAGAGTTCTCCAAAGTGATTGTGCCATTTAATTATTCCCACGTAGTTAGAGTTGGACAGTTCTAGTTACTTCTTATCCTAGCCAGAACTTAATGCTGTATTCATTTAAAGCCATTCTGATGGATGAGTAGTAGTAGCTCATTGTGGTTTTAATTTTATTTCCCTGATAAATAACGAGGTTTAGCACTTTTTCCTATGTTTATTGGTCATATGGCTGGTCTCTTTCCTGGAGTTCCTGCTCCAGTCTTTTACCTGTTTTTCTTTTGGCTTGTCTCTTTCTTTTTGGCTTGATTTGTAGTTCTTCATAGTCTGATGGCATGTTCTTTTTCAACGATATGTATTTCAAATTATTAGTGATTGCTTTTACTGAGTTGTTTCATCTATGTTTTCTAAAATTTTAACAGTAGATATTTAGTTTTTACAACAAGGAAAAAGTAAAACCATCATCATGTTGGAGAAACAGATTCCTAAATCAGACAAAGACAAAAACCATATTATTTCACTTATATGTGGAACCTTAGAAAAGATAAACAACAACAAGCAAGCTGATAGATACAGAGAACAGATTAGCGGTTGCTGGGGGCTGGGGAGTGGGCAAGATGCATGAAAGGAGTTGGAAGGTACAAACTTCCAGTTATAAAATAAGTAAGTCATGAGGATGGAATGTACAGCATGGTGACTATAGTTAATAATACTGTATTGTGTATTTGAAAGTTGTAACAGAGTAAATCTTAAAAGTTCTTTTTTTTTTTAAGATTTTATTTATTTATTTGAGATAGAGTGCGCGCACGAGAGAGAGCACAAGCAGGGAGAGGGATAGAGGGAGAGGCAGAAGCAGACCCCGTGCTGAACAAGGAGCCTGATGTGGGGCTTCATCTGGGGATACCAGAATTATGATCTGAGCCGAAGGCAGACACTTAACTGACTGAGCCACCCAGGCACCCCAGTCTTGAAAGTTCTTATCACAAGAAAACAATTTATAACTGTGTGATATTAGATGTTAACTAGATGTATTGTGGTGGTCATCTAGCAATATATACAAATAATTGAATCATGTTGTACACTTGAAACTAATATAATGTTATATGTCAATTATTCTTGATTTGCTTTATCTCTCTTCCCTTCCATTTCTTGATATTTGAACCAGTGATCTGAAATCCCACTCTCTCTGTCCCTTCTAGCCACTCACTCTTTAACCTCCTTGTATAACTAAAGAGGGACTCTTGGCTGGCAAACTTAGTGGTGGGTGCCTAGGCCCTCCTCCCAGTCTTGCTTTTCCTCTGTCCCTCGTTAACTCTTGATACCACTGGCTACCCAGGCCTTGCATGTTTCTTCTCACTTGACTTTCTGATGATATTGAACCTCCTGTCCTCCTTCCTCTTCCTCCTCCTGTGCTTTCTTTAGCCCCCAGTTGGCATTTCCCATGCACCCAATGGAGCTCTTTTCCCCACAGGATGCTCTGTTAGCTTTCTGAAGTAGTCAGGCAGCCTTGGTCACATGCCGGACGTCCCCTCCCTCCAGAGAACATTGCTACCTTCATCTCTAACGCCTCCTACCATTCCCAGCTCCCTGCTAGATATCTGCCCTTTGAAAATCCCTTCCTCTGTCACTCCCCCCATCACCGTCCCCCTCAAACCAGCCTTGTCTCCTCTGCTCCTGTCTATTGGGGGACTGACCATACTACTGCATAACCCAGGCATGAAACATGGGTCATCTTTGCCTTCTTCCTTCTGACCCACGGCCAGTCTGCAGCTAGAGCCTGTCAATTCTGTGTCTTCCGTGGGAGCTCTCACATGGGAAGAGCAATGCAAACCACAGCAGAGATGATGGCTAACAGTGAGGGAGCACCTGTCTGTGCCCGCCACCAGCACTCAACACTTCTCAGGTGCTACCTCACTGAGTCTCAGAGTGGCCTTAGGAGATGGTGCTGTTAACTTCATTTTGCAGATGAGGAACTGAGTCCCAGAAGCCTCCGTTAGTAGGTATCTTGCTCTTGTTGTCAGTTGGAAGCAGCAATTCTAACGCCTGCCTGCCGGCTCTACTTCCTTACTTGTAATTCTATCACCCGCACCCCCCCACCCCCGACTCATTACTTCTTGCCCAAATAGCCTTTCCCTCCTGATTTGCTTTTTTTCCCGTTCAAATCCATCCTCCAGAAAACGTCAGGTGTATCTCCCCAAATTTGACTCTGTGCCTGTCTCTTCCCAGCCTTCCTTACAGTGACTGATTTAGAAGCCAACAGTAAAGACAGATTCTTCACATTTGCTTTTACAAGCCAGAGTTTGGCCTCTGCCTTTCCATAAGCTTAAGGTGCCCTCTCTGCATAGGCTGTGCATTTTCTTACACTGTTTGCAGAATCTGGAGCGTGCCTCTTCCTCCTCAGTTCTGCCTTGCTTTAAATTCTTCCCTGTTCTTCAAGACCCAACTCAAATGCTCTCCCTTATGTGAAACCTTTCCTCAGCTTCTCCTGCCAGCTCTCTGTGAGCCTCCAAGCAGTCTGTACCATCCTTTCTGCTGCCTTAAGTGCTAGCTGAATTCTCCTCAGTTACTTCTTTGACACCCCTGAAAATTCATGTGGAGTTCTCAATAATAAGCATTTTATTGATTTGTTTGATACTTTCTGTCAAGAACACAATAAAGGGAATTTGGACGTGTTGCTAATAAGAGCCATGGATAATTCATTCCAAAGTCTAAGGGGGAAAGTGAGTGTGTTAGTTCCCTAGGGTTGCTGAATAGCTTAAATCAATCAATCAATCAGTCAATAAGTAAATAAATAAATTCATTCACTCATTCACCCACTCACTCACTATTCCAGAGAATGGGAGTCCAAAATCAAGGTGTAGGTTGGCACGGCCAACCTCTAAGGCTCCAGGGAAGGCTCTTTCCTTACCTCGTCTGGCATGTGGTAGTTCCCAGCAATCCTTGGCATTCCTTGGTTTGTAGACACATCACTCCAGTCTCTGCCTGTGTTGTCACATGATATTCTCCCCTGTGTCTATCTTCTTATGGCCATTTTCCCTTTGTGTCTTTCTTTTCTTATAAGGGCACCAGACATACTAGATTAAAGGACCACCCTACTCCAATATGATCTCATCTTAACTGATGGCTTCTGCAATGACCTTATTCCCAAATAAGGTCATTATGTTAAGCATGTCTTATTCTGATGTTTTGACATCTGGGGCTTTACTGATCCTGGGGAGAACACCCTTTCTGGGGCTATAACCAATTCCTTGAGATAGTAAACTGAGCATGCTTTCCATATGCCAGTCAATCCAGAGCCCATTTTCTCTCCTTGACTCTGTCGTTTGGGCTCTTACACTCCAAGTCAATATTCTGCCCTTAGCACCTCGGGGCAGGTACCATATGTCTTGGCACAGCTCTTGTGCTCCAGAGCCTGCTGAAATAATTCAAACCAACCAGTCCTCAGTCTTGCCTTGCCTCTTCCTCACATGGAAAATACAATAAAGCCTCTTGCCCACATTTCCCCCTTCTTCCCTCTGCCTCTTGGCTGACCCTGGCTTACCATGCCTCCTGTTTCTAGGGGGTATGAGTATAAAACTCTTCCTTCAACTCAGTCATTTTCATGTCACATTTCTTACCATACCTGATTAAAACAAATCCCAGGCACATTTTAAAACAGTCATGTTCTGAGACTCTAGGGAGTTAGAACTGCAGTGTATCTTTTTGGGGGATAAAACTCAACCCTAAGAGGGAAGAACCTATTTGCCCCTGTTTTATTTGCATTCCATTGTGGGGCAGTGACCCAGTGACTGACTCCTTCAAGGGACGAGCAGACTTGAAGTGTAGAGTGCAAGAAGGAGAAGCTGTAGTCGTCCTCTGTTCTTAAATATCACCCTAGGGATAGGCACTCATTACATTCACACTGAAATAGATAGACCCCCCCTTTTTTGGGAAAGGTGGCAAAATACGTTTAAATTCTCTGTTGAAAGATGTTGAACAGATGAGTTGTTGTCATCGTTGATTTCTGGGACTGTATTTGATTCTGAGTAATCTGTTTTTTTCTTTTTTCTTTTTTTTAAAGAAAGTGGAAGCCCAGAATCTCGTGTTAATGCTATCCATTTCTTGGTACACAAACTGCCAGAGAAAAATAAAGAAATGTTGGACATTTTGGTGAAACACTTAACAAAGTAAGCCCCCTTTTCTTCCTAACTTTCTTTGTTTTACTCTGGGTACTATGTGGGGTTCTTGGATTCATAATGGTTGGAAGTGGGGCTGTCTACACAATACCAGGGACCACGCCTGGAAAGGCAGGCTGGACAGTTGAATCACTGTGCATATTTTGGACAAGAGCATTGAAATATGATGCTTTCGTGAAGTTGTATAATTATTTGCTTAACATCACTGCCAGCAACTTGGGGTTTGATTGGAAGTAAGAGAAGAGAATATTATACACTTCCCTATACACGGGTCCTGGAAATGTGATTATAAGTCTGTTAGCGAATTTAGCCTGGTTTCACACCTACCTAACTCTAAGTTTCCACATGGTCTTTAAGTTAGTTTAATCCAGTAATAGGTAGTTATTTCATAGGATCCATTCTAGTCTTTTTACTCCCTCTTTAAAAAGCAAGCAAAATCTAATCATTTAGTGGAGAAATTAGCCCTTTCTTCAAACACAAATGACTCTTAGCTCACTGTAATTATAGAAATTTGGAGGTAAGAAGAGGCTGAGGAATGCTGTTTTAGAATGTTCTTAATTTTCTTTTGTTATCTTATTTATTTTATTATGTTTTTATTTTGTATAAAAAGAAACTGAAGGCCAGAGGATATTATGACCTGCCAAGTGTCCTACTGCTAGTGGAGCTATTTGTTCATTTAGTCAACACATATTTATCGAATGCCTTTTTTAGGTGCTTGTGGATACATAGTTGAACAAGATTGATGAATTCCCTACTTTCACGAAGTCGCTTCTTTCTAAGAGGGAAAAGATCATAAACAGATTACAAATAAAAATACGAAATAATTTCAGGCGATAAGTGGTTAAAAAAAATGAGGGGATAGAGAATATAGATTGAACGTGGGACTTTAAAGAGTGTTGTTATGGAAGGTATCTTGAGGATGGGAACTTTGAATTGAGACCTGAATTAAGCATCAGGGCTTCTGAGAACAGTTGTCTAGGTTGCTCACTGCACAATGTATTGGGCCAAAGGGGTGAATGTGGGTTCTCTGACCAAGTTCTGTGTGCTTGTGAAGCTAAATCTGATAAAGATACCATACAATCTGGTCATTCCTGGAAGCCAAGGGTATAATAGTCTGGGGAAGTGGGGATATTCTAAGTAGAGGGGAATGGTAAGAGAAGGTCTTCGGGGGGCACAAGTCTAACATAAACATGGAATTATTAAGAAAGCCATTGTGGTTAGAGCAGAGCATCGAGAAGAGAGGAATAGTAGGAAGGTAGGCAGGGGCCTAATCCCCTAGGTTCTTGTCAGATTTTGTTATTTCAGAAGCAGACATGGAGGACAATTGAGTGTCTTGACTCCTTGTTTTTAAGGAAACACAGAGTTGCAGAAGATTGTACGTCCCCAGCTATTGCCTCTCTTTTAACTGGAGACTTTCTCCCCCTGCCCCCTTCCTTATCAGTGTTTCAAATCACTCCAAGCAGAACCTCATGACTGTGGCAAATCTGGGAGTGGTGTTTGGACCAACTCTGATGAGGCCCCAGGAGGAAACTGTTGCTGCCATCATGGATTTGAAGTTTCAGAACATCGTGGTGGAAATCTTAATTGAAAACCACCAAAAGGTAAACTCTCTTTGTTTCTTCCATAGGGGAATTCCTGGTTTTGGCTTTATCACCATGTGAAACTAGCCTCTAAGATTCCCCACCACCGTTAAATGATTTTATTATTATTGCGATGATGAGTTTGGTTCTGAGAAGTTCCTGCTGAGCTTCTGTCTTCTGATGGATTTCCATAAATCTGAAGTTTACCTGGTCTTCTGTTATCTCACTGGTTTAAGGAAGCAGCATTTTACCCAGATGCAAATGACAGTCTGCAATATAATATTGAACTGTTTAGATTCTTTGCAGCTTTCAGTCCTATCTTTAGATTTCTCAAACTCTGTTTTTGTAACCTAGGGAAAATATTTTTGCCAATCTGTGTCACATTCTCCCTAAAAAAACACACATATAACTTCCCCTTATCTCCCAAATTGTGCTGACAATTTCAGGGGATTCACATGCATCCCTGAATCTGGGAACCCCAGGTTAAGAATCTCTGGTTTAAAATGAATAATCTCCTTAGTGACACATCATTTTACTTGTTTCTCTATAATCAGGGGACTACAGAAGTTTACAAAATATGATAGATTCTTTGAAGAACTTTTATGTGGTTTTTTCTCACTATCATTATAGATCACAGCCTTGCTAATAATTTTCCTCACTTCTTTTAAGATAGGGAATTTGAAAATTGTTAAAATGCTTGGTTACTCATTTGTTTATTAAAGGTTTGTTGTAGTTTGTTTGTTTTCAACTAAGATTACACTATATGCCAAGCATGTATGAGGTGCAAGGCTATGAAGAAGAACATTACAGCCCCTGATGGAAAGCAGCTCACAGTCTGGGGTGGTGCCCCATTTTGGGACTTGTATCCCACAGCACTTATCTCTGTCCAATGTGCTATCTAATTTATTTATTGTTGTAGTTATCTGTTTCTCCCTGCCAGATCCTTGAGGGCAGAGATCGTTTTTTACACTTAGAATAATACCTGGTACATACTAGGTGTTCAGTTCATATTTATTGGATGAATTAATGAACTCAATAAATTTTAAGGGGGTCAGAGGAGTGGGAAGGAGAGAAACAGAGCCTCCATGAGCAAAGCACGGTAAGAGCCTTGTTGCATTTGCTGTTTGCTAGAGCGATTCTAGCTTGTGTGAGTTAAGTGTGAAAGCTGGTCAGAGATTTTCTTGCCCAGGATAGTAAAAGCAGCTTGTTTATGGGTGTAAGAAGTTTGGGGTTTTTGTTTGTTTGTTTGTTTGTTTGTTTTTAGCTAGCAAGTGGTGCCCTAAGCTATCCAGACAGCTTTAAGGAAAGATGGCTATAATCGTTTTTAGAAAAAGAAATAATTGAGGACACCTGGGTGGTACACTTGGTTAAGTGTCCAATCTTTGGTGTCAGCTCAGGTCATGACCTCAGGGTCATGGGATTGAGTCCCACATCGGGCTCTGTACTCAGAGTGCAGTCTCCTTGAGATTCTCTCCCTCTGCCTCTCCCCCACTCACTCGCTCTCTTTCTCAAATAAATAAAAAAAAATCTTTAAAAAGAAAAAGAAATAATTAATTAGACCCACAAGCTTTGAAACAATGTTTAATGGTACAGCTATCATTAGATTAAGTCCCAATTAGGGAACTTTTACGCAGTTTATGGGGAAAATACTGGCTCTGGGTCTTGCTCTCAGATAAAAGGATCTCCATTGAATCCTGCAGCTTCCTATTTTCTTATTTGAAGCTGAGAAGATAAGTTCACAATTTTTCCGCTTGGGAAGTAGATAGTGCCGCCTTCACCTTGTTAACAAATCTTACAGGAATTTCCAAGTGGCATTGGTGAACCAATTATAATAGTGATGGCAGATGACACTGGACCCACTCTCAGAGATTAAGCTCCATAGAGCTAAGGAGAGGGTTTTCACTTTTCCGCTCTGCCTTTCTGTGGCTACGCTAGATAATGCTGTGAAGGCGTAGCCAATGTGAATTGAAGCACTGACTTCCTATTAAGAAGGGGGCAGGTGGGATACTGAGTTTCAGATTCTTCACTGAGTGCGTGGGTTTAGTTTGGAAGCACAGGGTGGGGGTGGAGAGCTGTTAGCTTGGATTAGTTCATATTTCTGAGAACTTAATTTCCCTATTTCCTCTTCTTTTCTCTCCGATTTCATCCTTGTCCACTTTCACTCCCGGCTCTTTGTTCCTGCTCAGCTGGACTTCACTTCAGAGTCTAGGCTCTGCTATGAGGAAGGATATTTCCGCTGACAAGGGTGGTTGTGCAGAAAACTTCACGTGGACGCATGTACCCATAGGAGCCTGAGGTTTCCTTGGCAACTGATCCACGTTTACCACCCAAAGATCTTGTGTTTGACTTGAATGTGGTGAGGGAGGGATGTGGTTCCTCTTAGTAACTATGTTTGAGAACAAAATGAGAAAGAGAGAGGAAGGAGGATAGAGGGTTAAAAAGAAGAGTCTTCTGGGGGGGGAAAGAGTTATAATAAATAGGGGGGCAAATAGGCGCAATGAGAGAGGGAATGAAGAGGCCTACGTAGTGTCTATGAAGGAGAACCGATGGAGGGGAAAGTGACAATAGAAGGAATGCCCTTTCTTTTCCTCAGTTACTTATTTTTTCATCCTGGGAATGTGAAAAATGTTGACTCTGACCAGGAACGTCACTAAAGCAAAAGAGGAAACTTTCAGCATATAATTAAAGCAAGAAAGCTCTGGATTAATTTTAGAGTTAGAAAAAGACCGAAGTTAATCTGCCTCGGAGATCACATTTTATCCTAGCCTTTTGCTGTTTTCATAAAACCCATATGTACTCTATAGGAAACTTAATCCACATGTTTTGGCCTCATTCCCACACAATACATTAAGATGTTGTTTTAAAAGAAGCGTTTACAGGCCAAAAATATTATCAAGGTCTTTCTTCCCGTGCAAGCCAGAAAATTGCAGTTCCCAGGTGGAAAAGGGTGCAAAATTCCCACAGATTTTCAAGTTGGGATTGTGCCTTATAATTTATCAGTTTTACATAAGTTTTCTTTCTTAAAGATTTTACTTATTTATTTGAGAGAGAGAGGGAGAGCCTGAGTATGGCAGGGAGAGGGTGGGGCAAAAGGAAAGGGAGAAGCAGGCTTCCCACCGAGCAGGGAGCCCGACGTGGGGCTCGATCCCAGGACCCTGGGATCATGACCTGAGCTGAAGGCAGATGCTTAACCAACTGAGCCACTCAGGAACCCCATAAGTTTTGTTCTTGACAAAGTATAATTCTTATGGATTAATGCAGTGTGTTTGTGGTGAGCGCCTGCTTGGAGTCAGATGTGATGTGAGATTTGGAGGAAGAGTCTGGCAGGGGAAGGATCTGTCCACCAGTAATTGCAAGATGCAGTGGAGAAGAGTACTCTCAGAGAGATGCAGAGAAAACTGCTGAAACTTCAGAGGAGAATTTATGTCCAACTGTGAGGATTCTAGAACGTTTCCTGACTAGGTGGTTTTAATAGGTTTTAGAATGGAGTTTGAGCAGGTGGAGATGTTTTAAGAGGACATTTCAGGTATGGGGAGGTCATGTAATTAAGAGAAGCCCCGAGAATATGTGTGCGTCTGGGAATGCAGCTTCTGTTGGAACAATTGTGAGGGGCATGAGATGTGGTTGGAAAGAGATTTGGGCCAGGTGTAAGGAGGTTGGGAATGCCACCCTAGGACTTTTGGATTTCATTTGGATAACCAGGGCCTCTCATGGTTTTTAGGTAAACTGCTTCAGGAAGTTTAATCTGGCATCAGGTTAGCAAACAGAAGGTGGAAGAATAACAGGTAAGAGGTCACGTGGCTGAGGACATGGTAGTGAGAGTGGGAGTTCAAGGGGAGCAGGCTTCATCTCCCAAGGCTTGGTGGACACAGTCCAGGGACTGGATCGGTGGGCCGTCTCAAAGCAATGTGTTAGGAATGATGGTCAGTAGGTCACAAATGAGGACCCAGACCTGGGAGAATATTAGGGTCATTAATAAAAATAGGGGAAAAATGGGTTTGGGGCAAGAGTTCAGTTTTTTTTTTTTTTTTTTAAGATTTTTTTTTTTATTTATTTGACAGAGAGAGACACAGCGAGAGAGGGAACACAAGCAGGGGGAGTAGGAGAGGGAGAAGCAGCCTTCTCGCCAAGCAGGGAGCCCAATGTGGGGCTCGATCCCAGGACCCTGGGATCATGACCCGAGCCGAAGGCAGACGCTTAACGACTGAGCCACCCAGGCGCCCCAAGAGTTCAGTTTTTAACGTGCTGAATTTTAGCTGTCTGGATGTCTAACAAACAGATGTGGGGCTCAAATTTGTGAGAGAATTTAGTGGTAGGAGGTAGAAGATAAGATAAAAAGGCATGATATTGGCATAGGAGAGTGTGCTCACTGTGCTATATGCTTTCGGTCTACTACATGGGGTACTTAACCTCCTGTAACCCTAGTGTTTACATGCGTGTATGTAAAATAGATACAGTTACTTAAAATAGATAAAATAGATACAGATACTTAAATATATAAAGTAAAACATATAAAGTGCCTATTGCATGCATATGTAATAGTATCCTTATGTATACAGAACTCTTATTACATATATTGTCCCTTTACACCATGGGAGAAAGCTGAAGGGTGAGAGATTAGCTTGTTTATGGGCACACTGCTGGTGAGTGGCGAGGCTTGGGTTTGAACTAAGGGTTGTTTGACCCCCAAACCTTTGCTTCTCATCACTAGGAGAAGGTTAAGAGCAATATCCTTGAGAAACACCAAGATTTTCCTATGACAACAGGAGCCAGAAGAAACCCAGGCAAGTTTCAGTGTTAGGATTGTCAGGGGCCTTGTCAGTGATGCTGGATGCTGGCACTATGGGAGAGCACGAGTATTTACTCCCAAGAGTAAAATGTCGAGAGCAAGAGCTGAAGTCGACTTCAATGAGTGAGCGTTGGGGAATGGGTGCTAACAAGTGCAGACCTATGTTGTATTTTTCCCACATGACAGAACATACGGGAGGAAAAGGCAGAGCAGACAGGACAGGGGAGGGAAA